ATTTTGCTTTATGTTCGCACTGAAAGTATCTGCTAGCAAACGAATCATCCCACCCCAAACAATTGGTGTTCCAACTCTTCTGAACAGACTATAACAGGACAAAACCTCTCTCCTCACACCAAAGTCTCAGTTTGATTCAGTTCCCAATGCTATTTTGCTTTATGAAAGTCATGTGGTTAGCCCTCGTGCATGAGATTAACAACATGCCTATGTCCAACCAATAGAGGTAGCATTCTATGACTAAAAGGTCTGTAAAAAAAAAAAAAGTCCAACTTCTCTTTTAGCTGAGAAAGTGAAGAATGGTTCAGGCATGCTGACTTTCTGGTTTGTTGTGTAAGATTAGGTGTCCATTCATAACAGGCAAGCAGACTACCTTACAGAGAATGAAAAAATAAGCAGCAATTTTGCTCACAATCCGAAATTTAAATCCCAATGAAAGCATTTAAGGCGTGCTTATTCCAAAGGAAGTCTAACTTAAAAGTAAAACTGCCATTCTTGGAGGGGGAACATCTAGTATAAAGGCACTAAATGTTAGAAATATCCATTCGGAACCCCACTTTACATCCACTTTACAACAGCAATTTCACTTTTGGCTAGAAGGGTGCATCTTTTGTCTCTTAATTTTCCATTCTCTCTTTTCTCTGCTATTCACTTAAAGCAGGAGTACGGAGCGATCATGTGATTCCTCACACCGAGTCGTGAGGGCTAATTGCTTAAGGCCCAGATTACACTAAAGCCACAAGATCAGGCGATCTATAAGCTGCACATAAAGTGAACTAAGAAGTAAGATGACAAAAGCACTAGGTATACATGTTTAACAGCAAACCAAACAATAGAGCAGTTAACAGAAAGTTCTGACTCCCCCCTGGAAAGGGAAGGAACTGGCTGGAAAATGCGCTCGCTTCAACACAGGAGTAAGCCCTACTTCCCCACTTCCCTTTTTTGTCATCACCTGAGTGGATGAAGCCGAAAGGCACCTTCGATCGATTCAGCACCTGCTTTTCCACAGCGCTTCTCTACTACCGTAATCCTAGCTGCACCCAATAACCTTCCCGCAATACTGGCTGCAGCCTGACACTCTGAAGACACTTCACGGGTTTGGAGACGCAGCAAGCAAGTCCCCTCCCTTCCAGAGGAATCTGGGCTTGCTTTCACCTCTTTCTACCTAGCGCTCGCACAGGTAACCGCCATCGGGCACGAGGACAGAAGAAAGCGGGGCCCGTAGAGAAAGCGGAATGTGGGCAAATGCCTGTAGACAACAGACCGGTCGCCACCCGCAGGACTTCAGGTCACCGCGACCAGGACGAAGAGCGACTCTAATTCCCAGGGCAAACCGTCCGCCTCCTCCTCCGAGCGGCGTGGCGAAGGCGCAAACGCAAAAGCCGCTCCGCGCGCCCGGCCAGCCGGCCAGTTCTATTTACTCACCCTCCAGCCACGCGCTCGCTGCACCCGGCGCCTCGCCTACCCGCTCTCCGCAACAGCCGCCAAGCACGCCGGCAGGACCCGGATGCACATCAAACGAAGAAATAAATAAATAAAACGCCCAACGGAAGTGGAGGAAGGAGGCGCGAACACTACGGAGATCTAGAAGGAGCACAGGCCGGACTTCCGGTTTTGGCTTTTCCTACCGCAAAGCGGAAGGCCTGACCCCAGAAATTGGTTAAGAAATCGAGGATTTTAAGGTCGCATCAGCACGTCCCCAAGAAGCAAAAGCAAACGCAGGTTCCTATTCTCGGACATCCTAGATTTATTTTTCTTTTCAGTTGTATAAAATGCGACCTCTCTACCTACAAGGCTGCAGTTGAATGATGGAATTAGCCGAGAGGGGTAAAGGGGCCATTCAAGCGGTTGAAGTTTCCTACAGCTCTAAGTCGCATAAATAAGAGATTGGAGAAACGGAAGCGGGAGAGCGAAGAGAATCCAAATCCCCTTTAGCCCAACCTTTAACCGACGATAATGCAGTATTCCAAAAGGCTGCCCTAAGCGCATTTTTCTACCTCTCGGCAAGAGAACGAGCACCGATCGAGCGCGCGAGAAAGGGCTGCCTACAATCCCGAGCCTGGACGCCGGTGCCCGCAATCCTCTGCCCGGAGAAATAGGGGACAACCTCTAGCTGGAGGCTTGGCGCAAAGGGTCACGGAGTTGCAACAGTGAAGTTGAGCTGCTGGGGGTTTCTTTGACCCAGCCTGCGAGTCTCCTTTCAAAACGTTTCGGACCTGAAGAAATAGCCGTTTCTTGCAGCCCCGCTTAGAGAACCTGGGAGGAGGATAACAGACGTCCTCAACGCACAGATGCACCCGCCAGCTCGTCCCCGTTGGTGGGGGGAGCGATGTTTTCAGTACAGATAACACTGTACAGCTTTCTTTCCCGTTTAATGGCTATATAATTTGGGAAGAGAAAAATCCCAACATATTTCAGGATTCCTACTTGTACCCTGAAAAATTTTTCTTTATACATTGCCCCATTCTGCTCCCAAAGTAAAAGCCTAAGCTCCCCAAGCTCACTATTAGAGTGAGCAATAAGGACCTGAGAGAAAAGGTGAATCTGTAGTATGTCAGTCCTTTCAGTTAATTACAATTTAATTAACCATGGGTCTGTTTGCTAAGGTTACACAACACTAAATAAACCAGAGCTTACATGCTGCAGTGACTAGCTCCACACAACATGCTGTCAAAGCCAAATGAATTCAGTCACTACTCATTTAACTCCAATTCTAATACAGAATTGCTTCAAAACTCTACTCCCTGACATTCTGTGATATAAAAACCAAATATATGAAAATCATATTAAAGAAAACAAAAACGTCAGGACTATAAATTGTATATGTTACTGGAATACTTAAATCCCAAAATTAAATTCAGTTGGCCATGTAATGGATATCAAAGATTCCAATATCTTATTTCTTGCCTATTTGTACCCAGTGGAGTCCAAATATGTTAATTATGGTTTTGATCTGCCATTTTTCCTATGTTGCTTCAAGTAATTTCCATTGTTTCCAATGGAAATTGCACACATCTTTCAGTCAATATTTTTCCAAGAAGTTATTACTTCCCCATTTTAATTTAATTCTGATTTTGAATCCAATTCTTTAATAATGTCACCAAATACCATTCTTTCCCATGCTTTCTAAAAGGAGCAGATGTGCTTTAAACAGGCAAGTGGTGGGAGCAGGTACACAATCTTTGTTTTAAGAACATGGGACAGACTGTTAAGATATAAAATGTTATCCACCTACAGGGTAAAACCAGTAACTGTAAGCAACAAAATCCAGGGTTCAAGAACATCTCTTCCTTCCACCCCCCAAAGGAGACAAAACTAACAATAACCCTAATTTAAGTATTGTTTTTAAACGTTTAAAATTATTTCAGATAAAAGTAGCTTTTATCCACTGTTAAAGAGTTATTCTGGAATGTGTGTTAAACTCTTATCCGCTACTTCCCCTTTTATTTCTGACATATTATTGCTAACATTGAACACTGAAAAAATAGACAAGCACACAGAATAAAACAGCTAATATATAACCTATAATTTAAAACGAAACTTGTAATGGTAAATAGGCATTTAACAAAAGTTTGGCACCTTAAATTGTACTCATCAGCAAGTGAATCAACATTTTTATCAAAATGGACAGAATAGGAGGACATGGTTCACCATCTGAACCTCACCAGTTCCACAAATGGCTTGTTCAAAAGGTATCTTCTGATATCTGGCAGGCATTAGCACTGAGGAAATGGGCATTAAGTTGAACTAACAGAAGCTC